TTGCTCAGGACATTTGGTTCCAAGCAAGTTGGAATAGCGGTCACAGAAATGGAAGGCTCTGAATATGGTGTCTGTGGAGCAGCTTGAGAAGGTCGAAGGGCAGGAAATTCTCATACGAGTTGGTATTTCTCCAGGGTTTTGGAAGAGAAGTTGCCTGAAGTTGCTAAGGTAGGTTTGAGAACACCCTAAAGAGAGTCATCCCAAAACTGCTTCCAAAGAATGGAAAGGCACTTCAGAAATAGCTATCTACGAGCCTTGTTGTTCGAAACCTCTTAATTTTGGTGATGCAGCAGGGGAAGCATCTTTTTCACCTAGCTTCATCAGGTGCCTAGAGCTGATACTGAGGAGCACAAGAGTGATGTGAAGGGCTTGAGGAAGATTGAAAGGTGAAGAGCTGTGGAGGACACCCACCTCTGATCCTGGACACAGTAGGCAGGGTCTGCAGATGCTGCTGGACTCTAGCCTTCTGCTAGTACCTGTCTTGCTGAGGTCCACTTGTGTCTTTCACCTCCAGAAGTGCTAAGAAAACTGTGCTGAGATGTCCTAGCCAGCTTTCCTCTCCGCCTCGGAGAGGTAGGAAGGTGCCCTTTAAGCACTCTAGTCAGTGCAGCTCCTAGTGACTGTTTTCTGATAATAACTGTGGGAGTGAGGATGCTTTGACACCTAAAAAATTGTTACAGGGTTTCTTGGCAAACCCATTCCCTGTGCTCCTGATGCAAGGACATCAGTGTGTGGGCTCTTCACCAGAAGTCTTAAAAAGATCCATTCATCAATTGGGGAAACTGTTTGTTCTGTAAAGCCCTTGGGGCTGGAGGAGTAAAGCAAAAAACAACCTGTCAGGAAGCTTTTAAGTGTCCTGTGTTTTGCATCGAGATAGCTGTTTGCATTCTGTGCATACCCTGCATGCCGTGCTGTTTCCAACCTGCCTGCTTCAAAGAAAACTTAAGGTCTCCTCTTCTTCCCCAGCAAGGGGCTCCAGGCCTGAGTGGAAATTGGATTTGAGACATTCCTGATGCAAAACAGGGAACATGTCACTGCTGACAGGCCTGTAGGAGATGCTGGAAGGCTGTGTCCATAGTGTCCCTCTGTAATTGCTGCAGCTGCCCAAATCCTCATGTGTTCCTAGGAGCTTCTAGCACAGACCTGCCCTCACCACCGGTTGTAATGGTATAACCACCTCCATTGCTAACTGTCCTGCCTTGTTTGGGCTGCAGTGGTCTGGAAAACACTCCACAAGCTGCTCAAGCAATAGGAGATCATCTGGGTTGGGCACATCCTCCATCACTTACAAGGAGATGGTGGTAAAATCTGGTAGTTGACCATGCATGAACTCGATTTCACCCTAAAGCCAAATGGGTCCAACCCAGCTCTTCTCTGGTTGCTCAGCCCTTTTCTGTGAGCGTGTTAGTGCTGGTGCTTCACCTTGATGTGCTCTCCGTCACCAGGAGCTGTGTCCCCTAACCTGGCTCCTATGTTCCCGTTCTGCCGCAGAGCCTGATGTTAATTGTGGTGTTATTTTTTTTTTCATGGGAACTCGGATAATTCATCAGTTGTGAAGCGCACCAGCTGTCTTCTTGGAGCGCAGCACTAGAGGAACCGCTGGTACCTGAACTTTATTTAACCCACCTCTGCAGAAGATCAGCAACTTCTAAATATAAATATATGTATATATAGTTAACCCTTGCCTGCTTTCAAGTTACTCAGGATAGCACCTCCCTGCTTCTCATCTCTGTCTTTGCAGCCTCCTGTGTGTGTGCAGAAGAAGGGAGAGATGATGTGAGCGTGACATTGCTGTTAAGTCCCTGAGCCCCCCAAGGAGGCTGCTGTGGGATCATTGGCACTGAGAAGTACCAGAGGCAGGTGCAGGAGCTGCTCTTGCCTTACCCAGTTAATTAAAGGGATCAGTTTTTGTTTGTTTTCTCCCCGTGCTCGCAGTTTAAACCCAGCACATGGGTTTAATAAGGAGCTGAAAGCACTGGTGCCAGGCACAGAGGGAGCTGTGTGCAGCTTTGCAGCCCTTCTCCTCTTCACCACCGCTCATCGGCTGCTTCCCCTTCTGCCGGGCCAATGCCACTGCTCATCCCTGTCTGTGGTACAGCCTGCCAAGTTGTACGTTGTGGTTTTACTTTCTTTAATCTTGTGGATGAACTTCCAGCAAGCACGAGCAGCGCTGGACTGCAAGGCTTTTGTTTGCAAGCCAAGGTGGGGCTTTCTGGGTGGGAAGAGTGTTGGGGAGCATGCTTAAACTCCCAGGTCCTCTTCCTTGTGTGATCCTCAAGTGGTGCCAAAGCCCTGCAATAATGTAATGAAGGGCTGGTCTCCCTTCTTTTACCAGCAACCAGACCTCCAGCATGTGTGCCCTTTGAAATGTGGGATCTGGGAGCTTCTGCTGCAAACAGGAGACCTCTTAGCGCTCTGCTGGCTTGGCTGTGGCCAAGCAGCCGCAGCTTCCATTGCATGTGCAGAATCATAGAATCACAGAATGGTTTGGGTTGAAAGGGACCTTAAAGATGACCTATTTCCACCCCTCCGACATGAACAGGGACACCTAATGATTTTGAAACATTGCTTGTCACGATGTAATGGCAATGTGTTGCTGGACCAAAAGGAACAGCTTGTTTAGCTCATAAGTCTCTTGTTTTGGGTTGTCTGACTCTAGGGAGTCTCTGATTGGTTCCCTTTTAGCTGCAAATCCTTCTAAATGTAGTAAGCTAAGGAGATCAGGAAGTCTGGGAGATGTTGAAAGTTTGTGTTCTGCAGGGTCTGCCACTTTGCCGTATAAATCCCCTCCAGCACGCGTGAACCAGCCTTTGGTCAGACGTGAGACATCACAGCCTTATGTCCCATTGTCTCCTGAATGAAGTAACTGCTCCTCTTCCTCCCCAAGCTTCGCAGGTTAGAAGCAGGATCCTGCTAATTGGAGATTGTCTGTAAAATCACAGAATAATGGTGATTCCTGTGTGCCTGGGGTTGGCATCTCCTTCTGCAAGAAAGCAATTGCTTGATCCTCCAAGATCAACCTTCCTGACAAGAGCTGCCTTTCTAGCTGGGGATTGGTGGTGGTCAGTAGAGGTTAATTTGATAAATCCCTCCTTCCAGGGCATGTGTGTGTAAAAATACATGTGAAACTCTGCACAGCAGCTTGTCTTCCTGAGGTAGTGGTGCTCGTGGCCTGGGGAAGGTATTGCAGCTACGTGCTGATCTCTCCTGTGTTTCTTTTGAGCATCCTTTCTCCCACTGCTGGGGAAAGGTGTTCCTGTTTCATGGTGTTGCACTGATGCAAAGGCTCGGGGGACCTGGGCTTGATGACATGAGAAATGTCTGCAAGTCTTCTAATCTGCCTGGGCTCTGTTTTCCAGTCTGCTGGTTGCACTTATGTTGCTGAGCTCCGTTCATGTCCTTGCACCACAGCTGTGGCACCAGCCATGGTGTGGGTCGGACTCTTCGCAGATAGGTTCAGCTGCTGGGGAGGGGATGGCATGGCATGGCATGGGAAGGGTAGGACCTCCCTGTTGTGCTCCAGGAACCACCAAAGTTGTTTGGTTTTTGTGGTTTCCACACATGCATGGCCATCTGGCTGCTGACCTTCCTCTTCTCGCCTCTCTTGGACTGTAGCTTCTTCACCTTTAGTCATTCTTTGCTTTGACTATAAGCCCTTGGGTTGGGTTGTATCTCACTTGCTTCTCCATCAGTAAACTCTAGCAGGGAGATGGCCCCAGATCTTACCTGTCTGCTGGGAGAAAAATGGTAATATTGAACTGTTGATTTTCTTGCCTTCTGCTGTGTTTGCATCGGAGCTCTCTGCATCCTCCTCTGCAGCGACACAACTGCCCTCATCGCTGCTGAAGGCTTTGCTGACATCTGGGGCAGAAGCATTGCTGGGCAGCAAGTGCCTCACTTTCTGTTTAAACTGATTAAGCTCATCGACAGTGTTAAATGAATTTAATTTACTTAATTTGCGCTGTGGGCTAGTGCACTGTTACTAAGATCCATGGACCTGCAGAGTGTGTTGCAGGCATGTGTAAGCAGCTGGAGGTGGGATGGGGTTCTGAGAGCTGGATCCTCAGGGCTCCAGTTGTGGAAATACCTCTGCTTGAAGCTTGTAGGTTTTGACCTCGGGGAGGAACCAACTTGAGAGCTTGCATGACTGTCTAATGGTTGTCCATTTGAGGCCTAAATTGTTTGGGAGAAATATAGAAAGAACTTGAATAGGGGGTGAATTAACATCTGGGTATCGGGGAGGTGTGTGCCCTGTGGAGAAGGCTGACTGCTGGCTTTGAGCTCTTGTGGAAGGAGGTGTAAGGATGGGTGAATGTAGAATCATAAAATCCTAGAGTGGACCCTTAAAGCTCATCCAGTTCCAACCCCCTGCCATGGGCAGGGACACCTTCCACTAGACCAGGTTGCTCCAAGCCCCATCCAGCTTGACTCTGAACACTGCCAGGGATGCCTGGGAAGCCACACTTTCTCTGGGCAGACTTCTGTGAGGTTCGGGTATCACCATCACTCTCTCTGTCAGCTCCACCACCCATTTGCTCAGGAACCTGAATTTGCTCCCCTTATTTGCCCCGTGTGTTTGTAGTACTGCAGAAGCCTCTCTGGTGACTGAGTAACCACCTTGTACCCCAAATACTCTTTTCTCCTTGTCCTTCCTATGTACTCTCCTGAGATAATTTTTTCCCCTGGTTGTGGATCTCTGGTGTTCCCATACTGAGTCTGTCATTGGGTTGAGACCTAGAAGGGAGCTGGGCTGAAGTTCAGAGCTTTGCAAAACCACCTGTGTCCATTACTAGCTGCCTCTGCTTGGCTTGCCAAGATACCACCTTTATCCTGCTGAGCTCTGGCATGACCCTGTCTTTTCTGACAAGCATGGGTTGCTGCCAAGTCCTGGCCACTGCCTGCAGCTGCTATTGCAGATATGCCCCTCACTATTGAGAGCCCATGGTCTAGCGTGGCAAGGATGTGTCTCACTGCTCTGTGCTCTTCCCTTTCCTCCCCAGGGAGCTCAAACTACGAAACTATGATCCTGAAGATGAGGAGCTTAAGAAGAGGAAGATGCCCCCGGCCAAGCCAGCCTCAGGTGGGTGCAAGGGGGTGCATGGGAGGTGACACAAGGAAGGACAACAGCAGAAGCATTGCCAGAGGTGATGCTGGTGCCTGTGGTGAGGCTCTCTGTGCTTTACTGTCTTCTGAAGGCTTTCAGACAAGGCAGATCATAGAATCACAGACTGGTTTGGGTTAGAAGGGACCTTAAAGACCATCGAGTTCCAGCCCCCTACCAGGGGCAGGGACACCTTCCACTAGACCAGGTTGCTCCAAGCCCCTGTGTCCAACCTGGCCTTGAACAGTGCCAGGGATGGGGCAGCCACAGCTTCTCTGGGTAACCTGTGCCAGGGCCTCACCACCCTCACAGGGAAGAACTCCTTCCTCACATCTCATCTCAGTCTCCACTATGTCAGTTTAAAGCCATTTCCCCTTGTCCTGTCCCTACCTGCCCTTGTCAAAAGTCCCTCTCCAGCACTCTTATCAGCCCCTTTAGGCACTGGAAGCTGCTCTAAGGTGTCCCCAGAGCCTTCTCTGGGCTGAACAAGCCCCTCTCTCAGCCTGTCTCCAGAGCAGAGGTTCTTCAGCTCTTGGAGCATCTCTGTGGCCATCTCTGGACTTGCTCCAACAGCTCCATGTCCTTATATTGGAGTCCCAGATCTGGACACAGGATTGCAGGGGGGCTCTCACAAGAGCAGAGGGGGAGAATCCCCTACTTCACACAGAGCCCTTTGCAGGGATTCACTGACTGCTATGATGAGGCTCTCTATAACAGCACATCCCATCTCCTTCCCATTCACCAGTCTCCCACACCAGTGGTGTTCCCAGAGAGAATGAGGCAATGCTTGTTGTTGTGAGGACAAAATAAACCAGCACGGGACTTTGCATCCAGTCAGCACGCTGCAGAGTGGATGGTTTGTACCTTTCCTTTCCAAAAGTCAGGTGGCTTGGAAAGCATTGTGTTCCTGATCACTTCAGCCAAAGCTGCAAAACCCACTGGATGTATTCTGTTGGTAGCTTGCTGGTGTGAGGTGTTTAGGTCCTAGGAGATGAGTGTCTGCAGCCCTGGAGGGTGATGGCATGTCTGAGCAGCCATGGTGGGAGTGCCAGAGCTCTCTCACTGCTGCTGGGTGAGTGTGATGCTTGCGGCCCATGTTGCCTCATCATCCTCTCACCTCTGAGGACTGCACACCCTGTGTTGCACAAGTGGGGTGTGTGTCTGAGCACACCGGGTCCAGCCCCAAACCAAAGGGTTGACACTCAGGGGAGCTGAGCTCTTGCTGTAGGGTGCTAAAGGAGACTCTGGCTGTTTTCTGTTTGAGTTATCTTTAAACAAATATTAGTCATGAGTCCAGTTTGTTCAGTCTGCTATTTCCTAGCACAGCTCTTGAGAGGGAAGCAAAGGGTAGAAGTTCCCTTGATCTTCAAATATTAAGTCCTCCTGGAATAGATCTTTTTAAAAATGCCCTATATCAAAAGGCTGCCTCTGGGAGCATGGCAGAGATCTGCTGACACTCTGCTTTCTTGGTACTTTTGCACACTTCCCCTGATTCTTCCCTGGAGTGTCATTTGGAATTGGGAACAGGAATTTTGCCTGTTTCCAGTAAAACTCACCCTCTCAGCCAGCCCTTCTTTGGAGCTGCAGTCCCCATTGGCTGCCGTTCCTGTGTCTGGAGCATCCAGCCTATCTGTCCTTGGGCACTTTGTGGGAGGGAGAAGAACAGAAGGACTGGGGCATATCTGTTTGCTGGACCAAGATTCCTGCCACAGGGATGTACTGTCCCTGGTCCCCACACCCCCTCCTTGCACAGGGACAGTGTTGAAGGATGGAGGGCTGTTTGCCATGCAGGCTTTGCCATTATCCTTGGTATCTGCAGACCTTTATGTACGGTTTGGGCTGGAGCTTGATTTCTCCAAGTTGTCTCAGGTGGTGGCCTTGTAAATGAATCACAGTGAGCCAAATGCCACTTGTGGAGCAGCTGGTCCCTGCAGGTTTTATGGAAAGAAGGCTGGAACCCAGCAGGCGACTTCTTGCTGCTGTTTGTATTTGTGGCATTTAATGGTTGTTGAGTTTGCATCATTTCCAGGTGATTTTGGGGAGTTTCTGAAAGGGTTTGGGTGGTGGGAGGGCAAATCCTGCTTGTACTCACTTGTATGTGCCCTGCTCATAGGGCAAAGATGTTCAAATGGGCTTTTGTGAACCGAGTCCAGAGCTCTGGTGGGTTTCCCTGTGCCTTGTCCTCTTGGTGTCCTGCTGCTGCGCCCTGCGCTAATGCTGGTATTGTTCCCCCATCTAGTGGAAGACAAGGTGAAAGACCAGCTGGAGGCTGCCAAGTCAGAGCCCATCATCGATGAGGTGGTACGTATATTGGAAGCCATTCTGTGCCAAGTGCATCTGTCTGTGTACAGGCTTGAACCTTGCCTGCAGCTCTCACTGGGTGTCTCCTCTTCCCTAGGATCTGGCAAACCTGGCCCCCAGGAAACCAGACTGGTGAGTGCCTGCAGAGCCCAGCTGTGGATAAAAGGTTGTTTGCATCAGTGGTGGGTTATTACCAGCTCGAGGATGTCCAGGTTGGGTTAAAACTGCTAGAAATGGGAAACCCAGCCCTGCTTTGAGGAAGATTAAAAGCACGGGACTGTCTTCACTTTTCCTGCTTCCACCAGGTGACTCTGCTGATCCCTCTGGGATGCTTGTCACCATAGTGGCCTCAGTGACAAGCAATGCTAGGGCATTGAGTGGTTTGCCATTCAGAGTGTTCTCCTGGTGGAAGACACACTCTGCTCCATGGTGCTCACAGGAGAGAGAATGAGTTTCTCTTCCACTGGGAACGGTGTAATGTAGCCCTTGATTTCACATCTGCCCTGGGGTGAGGATTTGTTCTGACATTGTCTCTCTCCTCTCCAGGGATTTGAAGCGAGATGTAGCCAAGAAACTGGAGAAGCTGGAGAAGAGGACGCAGAGAGCCATCGCTGAGCTAATAAGTGCGTTTTGGTGCCGGAGGGATGGTGTGCGTGGGGGTCACCATTTGTTCCAGAGGGATTACACAATGCTTGCTGGGAGCTTGGTGTCTAGCTGTTGGGCCAGGGAAGCACTGGCAGAGCTTGATGGCCTTCCCAAAAGGGTCTGGGAAGCTGTTGGTCCCACTAGCTTCCCCAGGGCTGCATGCATGCTTGGCTTGCATGGCTAGGGGATTGGTCTGTGGGCTCAGGGATTCAGTCCTCCACCATGTAGGTTCCCCAGTACAGCCAGTTTATCATTAAGCCACTGCTGTTTTTCACTTGCAGGAGAGCGGTTGAAAGGGCAGGAGGAGGAGCTGGCATCTGCTGTTGGGTCAGCAAAGCAGGAGGGAAGTGACTCTGACTGAGGAGGTCCATCAGGCAGCGTCAGGCTTGGGATCTGCCAGCAGTGCCGATCCTGTTGCTCTCAGGTAGAGGCACCTTGTTGGGACATGCAGCTCACCAGCCTTAGAGAGCCAGAGCCATGACCATTTCCCAGAGGACTGGTTCTCCTCTTCCTGAGCAAAGATGCCTTTTTCAAGGTGCTTCTTTCTGTGGAAGAGCTGATGTTCACTGACAGGTGGGGAACAAAGAGAGATGGCTGTGTGTATTTCCAGCATCCATGGTCAGACCCAACATGTGCAGGATATCTCTCCTGGAAGTGGCTGAGTGGCTCGGGACCCGATCGCTGGTTGATGTTAATTTGCAGTCTGTTCTGTTCTTTGAAGTTTCCTGACCCTCCCGGCAGTGCAGTGTGTCAGTGTGTATACACCACTTCTATGTATTTTGTAATTGGCAAAGTTTGTTGTTAACAAATCTTTTAATAATAAAACAGTCCCACAGTGGAAGAAGTTGTCACTTGTTCTGCAGAGGACTGGGTAGAGGCAACTCATGGAATCCTTGAGCACTTCCAGGGATGGGGCAGCCTCAGCTTCTTTGGCCAGCCTGTACTGGTGCCTCCTCACCCTCACAGGGAAGAACTTCCTCATATTAGCCCATCTCAATCTCCCCTCTCTCAATTTAAAGCCATTCCCCCTTGTCCTGTCCCTACCTGCCCTTGTCAGAAGCCCCTCTCCAGCTTTCTTGTTGGCCCCTTTAGGCACTGGAAGCTGCTCAGAGGTCTCCCTGGAGCCTTCTCTTCTCCAGGCTGAACAAGCCCAGCTCTCTCAGCCTGTCTCCACAGCAAAGGTGCTTCAGCCCTCAGAGCATCTTTGTGGCCTCCTCTGAACTCACCCTGACAGCTCCACGTCCTTCTTGTGTTGTTGGCCCAGAGCTGGATGCAGGACTGCAGGTGGGGTCTCACCAGAGCAGAGTAGAAGGGGAGAATCTCCTCCCTGGACCTGCTGGTCACTGCTGGTGATGCAGCCCAGGAGATGGTTGGTTTCTGGGCTGCAAATGAGCACTGCTGGGTCATGGGGAGCTTCTTGTCAGCAAAGCTCACCTCATCTCTCATGTTCGTAGGGACTTCAGACCACTGTTTGATACTCCCTGTCCCCTTCGCTTCCCTGGGATGAGCAGCAGCAGGCTTTGAGGTGGCTGAGCTTGTACGTACAGCAGTTCTAAGCACAGCTCCTGGGCTGTGATGTGGGGTGATGCCAACCTGATGTGGCTGGAAGAAGCAAGGGGGTGGGATGCTGCAAAGCTGGCCCTGCACTTTTCCCAGGAGCCTTTGCTGTGCCTCTGGGAGGTCTTAAAGACTGGGTGCCTTGGTCAGGCCTGATTATACGGGCTCCTGAATCCTCTGTGCTTGGTTCAAAGTGCTCTCATCTTGAGGTAAGGCATCTGGGGCATATGCCTTTGACAGCAGCATCGACAGAAGAGTTCACCTGTGATAAAAATAACTGTTCCTGTCAATGCACACATCCTGCTGCTTTTAACAGCTTGTTGAAAAGAGCTGCTGGAGGGGGAGAGGTTCTTCATGTGGCAGCAGCCTGCCCTCGAGGGGGGTGGCATTTCTGCCCTGGAGCCTTGGTGGCTGGAGTGGCCATCTCAGATTATCCTCAGCTGGACCAGGACTCCACACAGGACACAATCAGTCCCAGCCATGCTAAATACAGACTGATCAACGCTTGTCCCTCTGCCAGATCTGCTGCTACTGCAGAACTGCTCTGTTTTGCATCACTGTGTGATGAGTAAGTTTCAGGGGCTTTCCACCTGCAAGAGCCCCCTTCCTGATTCCAGATGATGAGCAAGGAGCAAAGAGCTGGTGAAATACTCTCTTGATCCTCCAACTTTCGTGCACAAATGGCTGCTTAAAGCCTCCATCCCTAGCTGCCTCCCCTCTCCCTTGGTGTGCTGGTTCCTGGTGTTTGCAGCCATCCCTGCTGCAACCTCCCCTCAGCCTGTCACCCCTCAGAATGGCCCTTCCGTGGTACCTGAGACCAACAAAGAGATGGAAACCCATGGAGCAAGGGGAGATCAGTACCCACCTGACCAGTGAGTATCCACCACCATGCTGTGGTCATTTTTGTCTTATTTTTACTTCTTGCTCTATTTTACCCTGGGCAGGAGGCAGCCAAGTGCTCTCCACCCATGTCTGTGGGCAAGAAAGCCAAGATCATAGGTGTGAAGGTGCCACGTGGACAGTTGGGTGCTGTGTGTCATGGGTGCTCCTGTCCAGGTAACACTGCATTGTGGGTCCGTCATAGAAAATGGGGGTGCTTCTGCTCTACAGGGATATCCTTGGCACCAGGTAGAGCATGTGGTGATGCTTTGAAGATGCTTAAAAATGAAAAGGACCCAACTTGTGACGGTCTCCAACACCAAAGTGAAACTGTGGATCAAGATGAGTGGTGATCATGGGTGTTTGTAGTTAGTAATGACCTGGGGCTGTCACACACCTTAAAGTGCATTTCTCCACTGGGAAGGAAACTGGAGAGTGTGAACATGCATCCTCCAAGTAGCTACAGCCTCATCTCTGTGAAACGCCCTGTAGATGTCAGCAAATACCTGTGCATAAAACCACTTTGCATCCAATCCCAGTACCTGGACCCTGCTCCTCTGTCCTTCTGTCTGTGTGGTAGCAATGCCACCTTTCCTTTCCCTCGAGACCCAGGCTGATGACCTCTGCTTTGAAATACATGTCCAATATGAATATGAACACAATGTGAAGGGAACAGTTATCACAGAATCATAGAATCACAGAATAGTTTGGGTTGGAAGGGGCCTAAAGATTCCAACCCCCTGCCACAGGCAGGGACACCTTCCACTAGACCAGGTTGCTCCAAGCCCCATCCAATATGGCCTTGAACACTGCCAGGGATGGGGCAGCCACAGCTTCTTTGGGCAACCTGCGCCAGGGCCTCACCACCCTCACAGGGAAGAACTTCTCAGATCCCATCTCAGTCTCCCCTCTGTCAGTTTAAAGCCATTCCCCCTTGTCCTGTCCCCACCTGCCCTTGTCAAAAGCCCCTCTTCAGCTTTCTTGTTGGCCCCTTTAGGCACTGGAAGCTGCTGTAAGTTGTACCCGGAGCCTTCTCTCCTCCAGGTTGAACAAGCCCAGCTCTCTCAGCCTGTCTCCATAGCAGAGGTGCTCCAGCCCATGGAGCATCTCTGTAGCCCCTCTGGACTCACTCAAACAGCTCCACATCCTTCTTAAGTTGGGGCTGCAGAGCTGGATCTCTGGGGCGGTCTCACTAGAGCAGGGTAAAGGGAGAGAATCCTCCCATCTGCTTTGCAACAGTGAGAAGCAGATGGGTTTTCCCTCCATGACTTGAATTCCCCTTAAACTGTCTCTGACTGCCAGCACAGCCTCCTGGAGCAAACCTGTGCTCCACCCAGCAGCAAGCTCCCTTCTCAGCCCTTTGAGCTCATTTGCAGCAGTGGTTCAACCCTGTAGAACATTTAAACAATTAAAAGCTGCTTTTCTCATGCAAGGAAAAGGGTTTTGAAGGGCTCGGTTTCGCTGTCAGCTCTCCGTGAAAGTGTCATTTGGAAATGGAAAATCAAAGCATCTCCTTCTAGGACAAGCCATGTGGAAGGTGTCCCTCCCTGCCCATGGCAGGGGGTTGGAACTGAATGGTCTTTAAGGTCCCTTCCAACCCAAACCAGTCTGTGATTCCAGCCTTAAATTCAGCTGGGATCAGCCCTGGACCCCTGGGTTTGCAAACCCAGCTGGGAAGGAGGAGAGGCCTGTTTTCAAATGGATAATGGGTTCCACAGACACCAAGCCAGTGCATGGGAGCCTGCCATCCTCATGCTTTTGGGAGCATCCCTGCAGCCATCAGAAACACTGACCCAGCTGTGGTCTCTTATGGCTGGAAAATACCTGCCCTGAGTCTTATTTCCTTTGCTTTGCTGAGGAGGCAGATTCTTCCCCCTTGTTCCGACAAACACCTCGTTTTCTGTAAACCTTTAAACCAGCATTTCTCAGCCCTGCTGCTTTGGGTCCTGTGGGGAGCATGCCTGTAAATAGCTACCCATACCCAAAATGGAGCATGGACACCCCCTTCCTGGTGGGCCACATTACCCAAAGTGGGACACAAGAGGCTGGGCTTGTACTTGGAAGAGAGTAGTGGGGAGGAACAGCAGGATCAGGCTCTTTCTAGTGAAGCCTTACAGTGAAACATCGCTTATCCTGGCATGGGACTGGGACCCCATCATGAGATGTGGGTCCTGGCATGGGACAGGGATCACAGCATGGACTGGGATCTGGGCATGAGACAGGGATCACAGCATAGGACTGGTGTCCTGGCATGGACAAGATCTGGCTATAAAACAGGGGTTCTGGCATGGGACTGGGGTCCTGGAATGAGGTTGGGGACCCTGCATAGAGCAAGGATCCTAGCATGGGACTGGCATCCATCCATGGGACATTAATTCCCATATGGTACAAGCATGGGACTGAGGTCCATCCGTGGGACAAAGATCCCAGAATAGGACTGGGGTCCCTATGTGGGTCCCAGCATGGTCCAGCCCTGGGGCTGGTATGCAGATCCCAGAGGACCAATTCCTCCTTCCCTGGGGCACTCCCTTCCCCAGCCTGGGGTGAAATGGGAGTGTGTGTGGAAGGGCTGGGAGAACAGTGGCATTTGGGATGTAACACCAAACTCTGCATCCCGTGGATTTAATTTATTCCCTGGATGTGTGGCTGGATGGGGAGGGGTCTTCTCCCTTTCAAAGGTGGTGTCCTAAACCTGTGTTTATCCTCTATGCCTTATAAAATCCCAAACAATGCTTCTCATGGTCCAGAAGCAATTTTCACTTAATTAGGGAGCGATTATGTATTGCAGGTGTTCCATGGACCCACCTGAAACCCCTTGGACAGCACAGTGCTCTGTGCTCATCCTGTGCCTGAATCCTTGGCATGCTGCGGTAGTGGGAACACTTGGATAAAAGGCCCTGGTTTGCTTTGCCCTGGTTTCCCTGGATGACATTGATGCCAGAATTATTTATTTCTCAAGCAAAACAGATCAGAAAGGGCAGGTGAGAACGGCAAGTAAATAACCCAGTGGGATAATCCCTTCAGATCCAGGGAAACCAAAGGATTAGCGTTTAATCTGTGCCTCTTGGGGGATTTCTCTGGATCACTGAGCTGCTGCTTCATGCACATCACCATAGACACCACAGGAGGCGCCTCATCATTGAGCTCCGCTGGACAGGGA